AATTATGCACGTTTACGCGTTTGTGTAAGATGACAATAATGAGCTCCGGACTTAAACCGGTTTCCGGTTCCTAGTATGTCGATATCAATGCTTAAGATCAAGATTTTAAAAATTTTTTCTTCTAATGCCTAAGAAACGTACTTTATCCTTTGACATGAAGAATGGTAATAAAATTAAAAAAACTAATAATGTTAAAATATATTTAGTGATAATAAAGTGGTACTCCATTTGAACTATAAAAGGTAATAAGTCTTCTAAGAAGCCAAGTAAAAAAAGGAAAGAAGAGGAGATAGAAGATGAAGAAATTAGTGATGATATTGGGCCTGGTGGTATCGATGATGTGAGCTTGGAGGGCACAGATGATCAGGAAAGCGATGTGGAGGAAATCATAGAGACATCAACTGAAAAAAGGAGAAGACTTGCAAAGCAATATATTGAATCCATTAAGGAAGGTTTAGGTATTGTATATTTCTCGGGACTTTTTGTTTGTAAAACTTGCGAATTATACATTATGATAATTATTAACTCGATTGTAGATGAAACTGGCTTTGATGCAGAGGAAATTGATCGAGATCTAATTGCTGAACGATTACGAAAAGATGTGGTAGCGTATATTTGTATATACGATATTACATTTGAACTTAAGTTTTCAATGAAATACTGAAATATTAAGCTAATTTATTATTAGCTGGAACAAACGGGACGAGCTCATCGTATAATAGCTGATACGGTAGATATTAATGTTACGATACTTTTTTTATAATTTATCGTAAAAGTTGTTTGTTAATTCAAGAATATCTTCAAGTGTGTTGTTTGGTTGCGCAACAGTTTTCGTTTCCTATAGATTCTGAAACTACGAAATCTGGTCGTCATGAACTTTCTGTTACTTGCGTAGCCTTTGCAGAATCTGGGCAATTTTTTTATACCGGATCAAAAGATCATTCCATAATAAAATGTATTTATATTTTTAACCCTATATAATAATTTGAAGTTCATCCGTAATTTAACCTATTCTTATTTATATTACTTAATAGGGTGTACGAAAACTGGTAAAAAGTTACATGTATTCCCGGGTGGTCGGAAAGAAATAAAGAAATTTGATGGTCACACGAACCATGTTTTGGCTTTAGCAGTTAGTTCTGACGAAAATTATATGGTAAATTTGTTTACGACTGCTGTGTTACTTTCTTTTGATTTAATACTTATATTCATGAACTTAGGTTAGTGGTGGTTCTGACAAAAAGATCAATGTATGGTCTGCAAAAGACGATAAATTGTTAAAATGTTTTACGCAACACAAAGATTCAGTATCGGTATGCATTTAAGATATTTTCTTTTATCCGATATATTCCACTCTAAATAATATTTATATTAAATTAAACTACCATTTATAGGGCCTTGTATTCCGTAAAGGGAATAATCAATTATATAGTGCTTCTCAAGATCGTACAATTAAAGTGTGGAATATCGATGAATTATGTTATATAGAAACACTGTAAGTTAGATATTTGATTTTTATATAATAATCCATTAATAAAGCTTTTATTTCATGATCTATATATACGTGTTTACAGATTTGGACATCAAGACCAAATCTTATCAATTGATTCTCTTTCGCGTGAACGTTGTGTGACTGTTGGTTCTCGAGATCGCACATGTAGGTTATGGAAAATTGTAGAAGGATCGCAATTAGTATTTCGTGGTAGCACCAAAATTGCAACAGAAGATGGTCAAACATTTAAGGAAGGAAGTTTGGATGTTATTACCATGATCGATGAGGATAATTTCCTTAGTGGTGGTGATAGCGGGTATTATATTTATTGTTATTCTATATGTTCTATATGTTATCTAATTCATTACTGATGTCATTTTGCTTTTTATATTAGTGCCATTTCATTATGGAACATTAATAAAAAAAAACCAGTGTTCGTATATAATATTGCACATGGTTTACAAACTTATGACTCTGAAAGTGAAGGCTCCATTAAAACTCCATATTGGATAACTGCATTAGCTACCGTGAGATATTCTGACTTTTTCGCTTCTGGATCATGGGATGGAAACATTCGCCTTTGGAAATTGATTGATAACATTCATTCTTTCGTTCCGCTGGCGGAAATTCCGTTGGTCGGATTTGTAAACGCTTTACAATTTGTAACCATAGAGAATAAAACTTTTCTTCTAGCAGGTGTTGGTCAAGAACATAAACTGGGTAGATGGAAAAGGATTAAGAATGCCAGAAATGGATGGAGATTAATAGAGTTACCTCTCAAATCTTAAATTAGGAATAGTGGTACGTATTTTCATTTATTTTTATTAAAAGTAGTGATGGGTAAATATGACCTCTAGTTTAATCTATCACTTAATGGTAATGTGTTTCTTGTTCGATTTAAGTATTAATATATCGAGCGCACATATTATTTAAATTTATGTATATAATATTGCGAATGACTTATCAAAATCGTGCCGATTGTTTCTATGGCCTTGGTTTTAAAACTTTCGCAAAAACCAACCCTTCTTTTGCAGAACGTCAAGTAATCGTTATTTATTTATGACCTTTGACGTTTTGAAAGGAAGATACAATTCTTCACAAATCAAATTTGAAATAATTTAACGACTAGTTTTCAATATATTATTATACAGGCAGTATTTGAACGGTGTGTTTTAGAAATCATGTACGACGGCGATCGTAACACAACAAAAAAAAAAAAAAAAAAGGATCGCATTTTTTCGCGCAATTCCAAACATAAGTTTTTTTTTTTTGTTTTGCGAATAGTATCGTTTTCATCAATAAATAAATAAATAAAAATCTTAAAAAGGGGTTAATAGGCGAAAGTTTTCATTGACACGGCTTTTCTTAACTAGGCATCAGGGTTGTAAAATTAATTTTTTACAAATGGAAAATACCCGGTGTGACAAATAATGTACTGTAGACATCTTCCCCAGCATCGCCACCAAAATTTTCGATCACGTGATAGCGCCAAAATTCTTTAGAGTTCGTTTATGTTAGGATTAGAGTCAGAATTAGGGTTAGAAA